TAAAAATAAGGGTCAAGATCAAAAATACAGGAAAATTAGGAGTAAATCAAAATCAAGGTACAAAGAACCTTGAATGTCATCATTGTGGTAAAACATGGAATATCAAGAAATATTGTTACAAGTGAAAGACAGACAAAGGGAAGCAAAAAAAGAAGGGAAATAACAAAAATACTGATCGTGTTGCCACTACCACTTCAGATGATGATTTGGCTATAGTTTATTAAGAGAATATGATCATTGTAGCCTATGATGGCACTATTTGGGTTCTTGACAGTGGTACATAATTTCATGTTACATCAATGAAAGAATTCTTCACATCTTATACTCCGAGTGATTTTAGAGTTTTGAATATGGGTAATGATGGAGTGTCAAAGGTGATAAGCATTAGAACTATTTATTTAGAGACCCAAAATAGAACAAAGTTAGAGTTCAAGAATGTTAGATATGCTCCAAACATTAAGTTGCATTTGATCTCCACTAATAAGTTTGATGATGATGGCTATTGCAACATTTTTTTATTATTAGTAATGTAAACTTAGCAAAAGTTCTTTAGTTGTGGGTAGAAGAAAGAAGGTTTTGGGTTTATATTGGTTATAAGCTTCAATCTCTAGAGATCTTGTTAATGCAGTTGAAAGTGATAGTTCTTTAAAATTATAGCACAAGAAATCGAATCATATTAGTGATAAGGGACTTAATTGTCTAACTAAAAGGAATTTACTTTTAGGATAAAAAATGCAAGGTTAGACAAGTGTGCTCACTGCTTGGATAGGAAACAAAAGAGAGTTTCTTTCAAACATCATTCTTCGTCTAGGAGAGATGATTTGCTTAAGTGGGTGCACTCAGATATTTTTGGTCCTTTGAAGGATAAGTCATTTGGTGGTGCACTTTACTTTGTGACTTTTATTAATGCTCATTCAAGGAGATTTTGGGTTTGTATCTTAAAGTCAAAAGATCAAGTGTTTGGTGCATTTAAAGAATTTCAAGCTTCTACTGAGAAAAAAGCTGGAAAGAAGTTGAAATGTATTTATACTGATAATGGTGGTAAGTATTGTGGGCCGTTTAATGCATATTGCAGAGAACAAGGTATCAGACATTAAAAGACATCTCCTAAAACTCCTTAGTTAAATGGTATGGCAGAAATGATGAACAGAACATTGATGGAAAGAGTGAGATGTGTCCTTTCAGATGCTAAATTGTCTAACTCTTTTTGGGGTGAAGCTTTGTATACTGTCACACATGTGATCAATCTAACTCCCACTATTACATTAAGAAATAATGTTCCTAATAGGTTCTGGCATAGTAAAGATGTTTCCTATGAACATGTACGAGTTCCCAAAGCTGAGAGGTCTAAGTTATATACCAAGACTAGACATTGTATCTTCATTGACTATGGATAAGATGAGTTTGGTTACAGATGCTATGACCTAGTTCAAAAGAAAGTTGTCAGAAGTCGTAATATAATCTTTGTAGAATATCAAACTATTGAAAATATTGACAAAGTGGAGAAATTTAAGTCTCAGATTGGTGGTTTGATTAACTTAGAACCATTTCATATAACTTATATATCTGATGCAATTGAGGTTCAAAATCATGATATACAAAATGACAATCATAAGACAGATGAGATGCTCCTGAATATGAAGTACTTGATGTTCAACAAGAGACACATGTTGTCGAACTTGAAGTTTCACTTTGGAGGTCTATTAGAGATCGAACGTATTCTACTAGGTATTCACCTAATGAGTACATACTCTTGACAGATGAAGAAGAATCTAAATGTTATGAAGAGGCAATTGAGAGTAAGTAAAAGGTAGAATATATTATAGTTACGAAAGATGAAATGCAATCTTTAGCTGATAATCACACTTTTAAATTAGTGAAGCTTCCTAAAACTAGAAAACTCTTAAAAAATAGGTGGTTCTATGGAGTGACACAAGAAGAAAATTTCTCATCTCCATGATACAAAGCCAGATTAATTGTCAAAGGGCTTCAATCAGAAAAATGGAGTTGATTTTGAGGTAGATTTTCTCACCAGTGGTCAAGATGTCATCAATTCATATTATTTTGGGATTAACTACTAGTCTTGATTTAGAGGTTGAGCAAATGAATATTAAAACAGTCTTCCTTTATGGTGATTTAGAGAAGGAAATCTACATAGAATAACTTGATAGGTTTTGTGGTGAAAGGAAAATAAAATTATGTCTACAAATTGAGAAAGAGTTTGTATGGATTGAAACAAGCACCTAGGCAACGGTATAAGAAGTTTGAGTTAGTTATGGTTCAATAAGGCTACAAGAAGACTACTTTTGATCATTGTATTTTTATGTAGAGATTTTCTGATATTGAATTTATCATCCTGTTGCTATATGTTAATGATATGCTCGATGTAGATTCTAATTCTTCCAGAATTGATAGCTTGAAGAAAAAGTTGAGCAAATCTCTTCTAATGAAATATTTAGGGCCAACAAAGCACATTCTTGACATGAGAATCACTCATGATATAAAATGCAAGAAGTTGTGATTATCTCAAGAAAAGTATATAGAGAAGGTACTGTAACGATTTAATATGGCTAGAGCTAAACCTGTCAGTACCCATTTTGCTATGTCTTTTAGATTGAGTGTCGAACAGTCTTCTTCTAGTGAGCAAGAAAAAGAAAACATGCAGAAAATTCCTTATGCATCTACAGTAGATAGCTTGATATATGTTATGGTTTGTATTAGACCAGATATTGCTTGTAAGTAAGTACTGTTAGTAAATTTCAATCTAATTCAGGAAAAGAGCATTGAAATACCGTGAACTGAATTTTGAAATATTTTCGTGGTACTTCTAATTTAAAGTTGTATTTTGGGATTGAAAAGTCTATTCTTAGTGGTTATACAAATTCTGATTTGACAGAAGACACAGATTCAAGAAAGTCTACTTCTGGGTATCTGATTATTTTTGTAGGGGGGAGCTGTGACATGACAATTTAGGTTGCAGAAATACATTGCATTGTCTACTACAGAAACTAAGTTCATTGCAGCGACTGAAACATGCAAAGAATTGCTCTGGATGAAAAAGTTGTGAATGAGCTGGGCTTTACACAAAAGAGATATGTTTTATTTTGTAATAGGGAGAGTGTTATTCATCTAAGTAAAAATCCTATTTTTCATGTAGATCCAAACACATTGATATGAGGTATCATTAGATTCGTGATGTTTTGGATTCTAAACAATTTGAACTTGAGAAGATACATACTGATGACATTAGTTCTGATATGTGCATAAAGACTTTACCAAAAATGAAATCTAAAGCATATCGAATGGTTGCCGGTTTGGCGAACTCCTCTACATAGTCGGGAAGAGGGAGAATTATTGGGTTTTGGGTTCTCTTCTATGTGGAAAAACCTAAATCGTTTTTAGCTCACTTATTTTTTGGCTAAGTAGGGCTATTAGAATTTTTATAGTATACCACTTTAACCCTAAGGAGCAGTAGAAAAATAAGTTTTTATCCACCACAAAGAAAGATAACAAAAAGGGAATTTTTGTTGGAAAAATTACATCCAATATATTTCGGTTCTTCCCACGATTAAATTATCATCTTTATTCTGATTAGGCTGAAATTTGGTGGGTATTTAGAAGACTCATTTTTCTTCATTTTTTACAGTGGAGATCAATTTTGGACGGTTGAATTTCTGGTATTTTCAGTTTGAAGTTATTGTTCACGTTTTTCTTCCTTGCACTGATCAATTTGATTTTCTCCAAGCGCTCAGATGTTCATTTGTGGTCTGATGAGGCTGAAATTGAGTGAGCATTTTTTAGATAAGTTGTTCTTTGATCTGAACGGTGGAGATCAGATTTAAACAATCAAAACTCATTCGTTTTACATGAACAGTAGCTATTTTTGGTGATATTTCTCTATTCCTTATTTATCTCTGTTTTTAGTGATTTATTGTGAGACTTTACTTGAGATTATTTTGATAGTTTCTAGT